AGAAACTGGGGTTGGGACATATGGAGGGGTGCTTGAAGAAAGGGATGGGGAGAGGAATGCTCAAATATTTTAATGGCTTTTGCTCATATTACATATATTTGGTGAAATTTGATATTTTTTTCCAAAAACAGAGGGTCTGAGGAGGTCGGCCCGGCGTCTAAGACTAGGTTTCAGACTCTAAGATTCTACCCGGGTACTGAATTAGATATGATATTTTAATTTCCTTTAGATGGAAACAAAAAATGTCATTAGATATTTTACAAATTTTAACCAGATAATGGTTTTGCTGAATAAAAAATAACAAATGGATGTACTTTCAAATAACAACAGGTTTCGTTATTTTTTCTGCTTAAAATTGCATGAAACTTACTGAATATAAAGACTAAATTTTTAAATGTTTTGATGTTTTTAATGTTGTCTTTCAATGTGCACCGCAATTTTTCAATGAAATAACTAATAACAACATTTGACAACTATAAGCACTGTTAACAATTAGTCACATATTGACGCCAAAAATTCAAAGTAAAATTGAGATTGTTAACAAACTGTTAATAACAGAAAAAGTTTGACAAACCCTTAGTGAACAATTCAAAAAAAGGTCTGTACGTTCCCAGCCCTATATACATAGAGAATAGAATATATAGAGAGGAATTAAAAGAATTTCTCGGTATGAATTTTTTCAGTCCCTTTCAGCCTGAAAGGGAGTTCAAAGTGTACAAAAATGTTCACAAATTATGTGCAGTAGAGTACATTAATACAGTATGTTCCCTAGACTATTTATTTCAATTTTTAAAGCTGTTAAATAAACTTTATAATGAATTAGGTGAATAAAAACATCATTTGATTTATAGTTATAACGGAAAATCATCGTTTGTAAAGTGAAAGGCATAGAGTCTATGTGAAATGATCATTGGTCAATNTATATAATGATATTCCAGGGCCCAACAGGTTATATAGCATAAATATGTGAAGTACACCTGCAGTATGGAAACAGTACAACAAAATGGCCGTTTTACACTTTTTTCTAGTAAATTCCTCTCTATATATATTCTATTCTCTATGCCTATATAGTATTAATTTAGTAAAACTTACATTGTAGCTTCATTATTATCAGTGTTCAAAAACACAATCAAAGGAATCCAAATCTTTTCAACTTCTTCTTGAGCAAGAACATTGGATGACGTTGACGTTTTAAGGTTGTAATAACTTAATCGATAATCATACCATTTCATTATCATCAAAAACTAAATGATGACAAATTTATCTAGATTTAACTTTTTTTTAGAATCAAAACCTACCTTCAATGTATACTTATGATTTATTTCTTCAATTTTTAAGATGTCCTTGATTGAGATGGATACATTGATGTTAACAGGATGAATTTTCTTTTCCTTCCTGTCATAACTTATATACAAAGAACATTTTTTTTATATTCTGTCTATATTAAACCATTAAAATTTTATGATCAGGATGTTGATTTATTTCTAAAACAAACTTTTTATATTGTAAGTGACCCCCTTTAAAGAGATTATAAATGAAAAATTAAAGGAGGTGTGTAGCCTGTAGGCTGAAACCAGAGTATTGAGTTGATCGAGACAGGGACATCAGATAGAACTCTGATGGGTCTTGATCAACTCCTCAGATACTTCGGTTTCAGCCTATACCCCCTTACATTTTTCCTTTAAAAAGGTGAACTTTAAAACCTTTATTGGATCAAATATTTGGAAGTTTTCAAGTTCAAAAGAGCTAATTCTAACAATTGCAGCAATATCCTTCCAAGGCAGAAATGCACAAATCAATTTAGAGAGTAACAACAATAGAATTTTATCAAATCTATAAGAAAAGATTATTGATATCTCATACCATAGATTAATTAAAGTAACAGATATGACACTAGATGTCGTCTTTTTGAGATATTAAGTATTTTGTTCACAATAACCCTGAGGCAGAAGCCCAAAGAACAGGCTCTCTCTCTGTCTTGCAATTCTATGGAGAGAGAGCCAATAATTTTTAGATTTTAATTAATCTATGCCTCATGCATTCTTATGCAGACAAAGTGTTCAGGCAGAATTGTTATTCTATAATGCCACTTAAATATGGAGAGTCACTTGAAACTGCGTTCCCTTAAATTGGAAAAATATTGCCTGAATGGTACAATAGTATCTTTGTAATTGTCTTTTAAAAAGATAATTTTGCATAATTCTTCATCAGATTCATCCAGACAGTTTGTGGTTTGATCACACCTGTAATATTCAAAATTCATATCTTTTATCAATTGATATGTTTGTTTTTATCTAACTTTATGTAAAAGGCTTGAAAATACCTTTGCATGGTGAATTTAAATTTATACACATAGATCTTTAAATAAAGTGATATTACTAATGCAACGCCTCCCATTGGAATAATGTAATTTGCATTGGAACATTTTACGCATTGTGCATTTCTATAAATGTATGCTTTGAGGTGACATCTTTTAAAAAGCTATAGATTAATTTTATTTATTTGATATCCATCAATAGCTTAAAAATCAAGAAATCAAAGCGTTGTCTGTGGAAACTGCAAACAGCTAAATCAGAAGCCAACATTTTTTGTTTAACCAATGAGAGAACATAATGTATATACTAAATCAATCAGATGTTGTGTACTTTGAATATAAAGATCAAGGGATAGATATTAAAGGTTTTCATCACAAGAGTTCCTACCTCTGATACCAAATTTAATGAACTTAAAGGGGGTGTTCATGAAAAATGAAAGGGGGTATAGACTTAATGCGATAAAAAAGCGCTTTTGATCACAACTAATCGTACTTCTAGCTGTTGCGTCTATAAGGAGAAAATTGTTAACGACGTCTCATACCGAATAACTTAGTGCCCACACAAATTGAGAAAATTGCAACATACGACTTAGACCGTAAAAAATCAATTTAATTTCAAACAAATCATTTAGATATTACAATCTATAGTCATTGATTATCTTTCGCCACATTTGTATATAGTTTATATTCTATAATATTTTATTTTTTTTAGAAAATGTTTTCAACGGATTTCGAAAATTGTGAGATAGTTGCGCAAGCAACAAGAGAAACAAACAAATTAATTAAAAAATATTATAAAATATAAACTACATACAAATGTGGCGAAAGATAATCGATGACTATAGGTTGTAATATCTGAATGATTTGTTTGAAATTAAATTTATATTTTACAGTCTAAGTCATATGTTGCAATTTTCTCAATTTGTATAGGCGCTAAGTTATTCGGTATGAGACGTTTTTAACAATTTTCTCCTTATAGACGCAACAGATAGAAGTAAGATTAGTAGCGATCAAAAGCGCTTTTTTATCGCATTAAGCCTATACCCCCTTTCATTTTTCGCGAACACTCCCTTTAAGCTACGTTGCTGATAAATCTACGGCCTGTTCAAATTTAAACATCCAATTTAAAGTTGCAGATTAGGGAAGGATTTAAATCAGTGATTGAAACTTTAACCAGCAGTTCAAATTCATTAAATTCTGTCTCTGTAGTTTAAAATTAAATACCTATTATCCATATCAATACACTGTCCATCATTGCATGTAAACTGGTTCTCAGAGCATGTGGTAAACTTAATCTTACGAACAGAAGACATGCCAACTTTCTTGCATGGATCAGAGTTCACTTTACTAATTAAAGAGAATAATCTGAAATAGCTCTCTTTGAAAGATGAAAACATAACATAAGTTTAGTTTTAATGTATGAAAAAGCTGTACTACAAAAGGGCATTCAATTCTTAAGTAATTTGAACTTTCAGAATTAAATATTCATAAAAATGTTTAAACTATAGTTTATTTCGTAAATTGGAAAAGTAAAGAATGAAAGTATTTCAATTTTATAAAACAAAATCATTCTGCAGTCCTTTGGTTATCATACAAGGAAATTTTGTTTAGATTTAGCTTGACTCGGTGAAAAATATAGCAACCAATAAGTTTTTACTTGAGTAGCCTAAAAACTTTAAATGTTTATAAGAAGACCTCTAACGAACGATCCCCCATCAGTACTTTAGCACTTGAGATTTAATTAGTAGTTTTCTATACAATGCAGTTTATAATTGGCTGTATACCTAAAATCAAATAAGTTTATTCCGAGTAGAAGTGAATCTCTTGTAGATGATGAAAACGCCAAGGAAGTGTTGTCCTTTCTATCATACCAGAGCCATTGAAGCCTTTCCTAAAGTTTACATTGTAGATTTCATACAAAATGATTTATATTATTATATAAAATTTTTTATTGAGTTTAAAAATGAAGAAACATACAATGTTTGTTTACCAAGAATGAAACAAAACTCTTAAAAAACCTGAAAACTAATATTAAACAAAAGTATTTCTCTTACTTTATCATAAATAACAAAAGAAGAAGAAAATCCCAGGTACAAAATAGAACCATCTAGATTGATGTTATACAAATATTTAGCATTATAAAAAGATGCTTCACACAGACCTCGAACATGAACACTTCTATAACACAATATTGTAAATAAGGTTTCCAGCAGATTGGAGATATCATTGAGTGCATATTCTGAATTTATTTTATTCTGCCCCAAACTGTTATTGGGCCAAGAACATTTAAAACAAATTTCATAATGTAAAATACATTGAAAAGAACTAATAATCATTAATCCATAGTGCAAGTCCTTGGGATTATCATGGAACATTTAAAAAATCTTACCTCATAGGTGAATCAACTAAACAGGCAGTACATAGGGTAGAAGAACATTCAGCATCCCCTACTCTTCCATCAACTAGAACTGAAGAACTGGAGTTATAAGATACATAAGATCCTTGAAATATTAGACAATTGAAGTCCTGTGATCCTGGATATGGTCGCCCTTGCATCCAGTTTAGGTATGTTATCTAAATAAAAAGACTTAGATAGATAAAACGTTTAAATAAGTTTTAAGACTTTTTCGATGTAAAACAATAACAAGCCTGATGAGGAGGAAAATATATTGGATATTTAATAGGGCTGGGCACCTATAGTCCATTGCCAAACTGTTCAAAAAAGGGTTAGTAAAAATAACAGAACAATTTAAATTTTCTGGTTTCCATTCCTTTAGTTAGCAGTTTTTTTTAATCTCTCTTAATGTTACTTTTTAGTGACAATCATAATTATGTAAACAAGGGCAAGAGTTGATTTATTAGAAGTTTTCATTGTTTTTCAGAATGAAAAGTTCGTTCTTTTTTATTAACTATATTTATTTTAATAAACAGTTTTATTTATTTAAAAACTTACCTTCTGTTAACAGAATGTTGCCCAGCCCTAAATGATTATCATTAAATGTATCAATTTACTTGGTTGTTATTGTAAAAATGTTTCCATATCCCTTCTGTTTCCTCGTCATTTGTTCCAAGCCACATCCTGCACATATTTTATATTAAATGTTGTTTATAACCTTTGACTTTAGCAATTGAAGTATTGGATAGTTATATTTTGGCATCTATTTTTTTCTTCAGAAAATGGCTGGTTTTACAGTTTTGGCAATAGTTAAGGAAATGTTTGCTTTCTAAGTTTGCTTCTATTTCAATTGAAAGAACAGAGTTAGGTAAAAAATTAAAAACAAACAAAAAAGGTAAAATGGTTATTTTTTTGTACCAGAGTGAAAATTAGTTTAAACAAAGTCTCAAAATATGAAATTTTAGTTATAAGAATTATTCAGATTTTTCCAATGCCTTTTTCAAACCCAAAACCTTTAAAATTTTAAATTGGATAAATCAAAGTATGGTAGAATAGAAGAAGAGATCAGACTGGAGCATGAGAGAACATATTTAAAAAACCTTCTCAGAGTTTCCATAAGATTATTCTGTACATTTTTCCTCAGAAGCATTGAGAAATTGTACTAAAACCCTGGCGATAGCTCTAATTCCCATAAATTTGTTACATAATATTGTTTTGAAAAAAAAATTAAAACTTATTGTAACATTTAATCCCTTGATATCGTTACAATCCCAGACATAAATCCTAGGGAAATCAAGATCATCTTTGAAGGTTAATACAAGACTTCACTTTCATTCCCAGTATCAATCCATAATTTACCCAAACCTCTCATCTTGTGTATAATATCTATCTCTCAAGGTCTTGAATAAGTGGGTTTATCAATCTACATTTTATTGGTACAAATATATCTGTTAATATCTATTTATATTAAACCATATTCCATATCTCTGTAGAGTCCCTCAGCGGTAAGACAAGTCTCCACTAGCTCTTAAATAGGAAGAGTCCCTCAGCGGTAAAGCAAGTCTCCACTAACTCCTATATAGGAAGAGTCCTTCAGCGGTAAAGCAAGTTTCCACTAACTCCTATATAAAGCAAGTCTCCACTAACTCCTATATAGGAAGAGTCCCTCAGCGGTAAAGCAAGTCTCCACTGACTCTTATATATGGAGAGTCCCAAAGTGGTTAGGCAAGTCCCCACTGACCCTTATGTAGGAAGAGTCCCTCGGTAGTTCATCTGAGCCTCTGTTCCCTGCTGGGCTAGATGTGGTCTCAGCTGATCCTTCTATAGATAATAAAACTGGTGATCTCCTGATCAATCCTAGCTATCTATCAATCTGCTTGTAACTGGTGATTTATGATCATCCTAGTTCTCTGTCAATCTGCTGTAGATCTATGGTCTCATACTTGCAGTTCTCCAGTGGTTCATATAGCTGGTGATCTTTGTGATCCACCCTAGCTCTCTATCAATCTGCTTTGGATCTCTAGTCTCCACAGTATCGGCAACTTCCACAGTATTTGCAGTATCCTCCATATCTGCAGTGTCCACAATATCTGCAGTATCTTCAATATCCGCAGTATCCACAGTATCTGCAGCATTCCTAATATCTGCAGTATCCACAGTATCTGCAGTATCCTCCATATCTGCAGTGTCCACAATATCTGTAGTATCTACAATATCTGCAGTATCCTTCATATCTGCAATATCTGCAGTATCCATATAATCTGTATTCTGCTCTGCATCTCTGTTGATCTACAGTCTGCTCTATATCTCCGTGATCTGTTAGATGCTCTGCATCTCGATTGATCTCCCATCTACTTGATATCTCCTTGATCTGTAGGATGCTCTGCATCTCGATTGATCTCCCATCTACTTGATATCTCCTTGATCTGTAGGATGCTCTGCATCTCGGTTGATCTCCCATCTACTTGATATCTCCTTGATCTGTTGGATGTTCTACATCTCGATTGATCTCCCATCTACTTGATATCTCCTTGATCTGTAGGATGCTCTGCATCTCGGTTGATCTACCATCTACTTGATATCTCCTTGATCTGTAGGATGCTCTGCATCTTGATTGATCTCCCATCTCTTTGATATCTCTTTGATCTATAGGATGCTATGCATCTCGGTTGATCTCCCATCTAATTGATATCTCCTTGATCTGTAGGATGCTCTGCATCTCGGTTGATCTCCCATCTACTTGATAGATCCTCATGATCTCCTTTCACCTGGATTCATTGGCCTGTATTATCTTCTGAGTCCACAGTGTTTCTAACCATAGAAACACCTGGAATATTAGAGGGTTTAGGTAGTTGAACCAGCTGTATAGAGGTGGAACTACATTGCTCTGATTCTATTATCCATTCTATAGTTCCAGCAATCCTCGGAGCCTCCAGTGTTTCTAACCATAGGAACACCTGGGATATCAGAGTGTGTAGGTAGTTGAACCAGCTGTATTGAGGTGGAACCACATCTCTCTGATTCTCTTGTCTGTTCTATAGCTCTAGTGATCCTCTGAGTCTCCAGTGTTTCTAATCCTAGAAACACCTGGAATATTAGATTGTGCAGGTAGTTGAATCAGCTGTACTGAGGTGGGACCACACTGCTCTGTTTCTATCGTCTGTTCTACAGTTCCAGTGTTTCTAATCATAGAAACATCTGGAATATTAGAGTGTGTGGGTAGTTGAACTAGCTGTACTGAGGTAGAACCACACTGCTCTGTTTCTAACCTATTCATTTCATCCATGGTATCTGTCCCTTCCATGATATCCATCTAATCTATCATAAACCTGAGTATCAGACTCATTAATGGTTTATTGGTGTATTCTTCTGTATTCTGTATTCCTGAAGATATGATCTTGTAGATACAATCATATAAGTCCACATGTTGTAAGCCTTCTGAGAGCTGTCCATGAAGTGCCCGTCCCCCAGCTCTGTTTGAACAAACGGAGCTTGGCTCATACATCTGTTCTATTCAAGGATCTGGGGTGCACTGTTGAATCTTAATGAATCAGTTCAGGTTAACTACTCCACATTCATTAAAAGAACAAATAGATAAAGGTGTGAGGCTGGGGGAAGTTTTTAGCATGAGTCACCTATACTTTAAATATTACATTATTAGAAATGCTTTTTTTAAAGCATTAAATGGATATATATATTTTTAGGCTATCTTCCTCCTTAAACTAAATTGTTGCATGCTCCTCCTCCTGCTCATATGACATCAGGAGGAGTGAGAATTTTTATACATTGTCTCAGTACTACAAGAAATTCAGAAAAAAGAACTATAATGGGAGAAGATAACTACCTCAGATGAGATTTAAATTAGGATCTTTTTTACCTGGTTTGATATAAATTGGAAACAGGGTTTACAGTAGAGGAACAAGCAGAAAATTTAAAGCTGGAAGATGAAAAATGTTTATTCAAATCATCAAATTCTTCTTTAGAGTCATAGGTCAGCATACGCCCAGATAGCTTACTATTTGAAATACAAGTTTGTCATTTCTATTTTTAGTAATTGTGTCTAAGTCATGTCTTACCTGCAAGTATGAATGCTCTGACTGTAATCTTGTTTTATTGGAATTAAATGAATACTATGATTCAAGTTCTTGCAGACATCATCTTCAAATTCAAGAGTCTAAAAAAACATGAGTTATTAATCAGTTGAACAGTTCAGTTATACAATTTAAAGACAGAACTTTTGTGTCGTGAATCTCCGGATCAAAAATTTATCTCATGAATCTTGTGCAGATCTACAGATTTATTAACTTGCTCAATAATATTCCATTGCCGGCATACCCTTTAATTGAGGGATTGAGCATTTATCCATAAATTTATCCACATTGGATATCAAGATCAAATATTTTAGATCATCGATTCTTCAAACAAAAGTTCTGATCAATACAATTTTAAAAAACGTTTATTTACTTCTAACAAAAAATTGAAAACACAGTTTTTAATTACAATAAAAAATATCAAGGAAGTTTCAAGAGGTTAAGAGATGTGCATAGACCTTTAAGATGGAAACTACAAATTTGTCCATAAAAAGTCTGTGATTTAGCACCTCCAATTCAGAAGTTTGTTTTCGCCCAATCAGTTTCCAGTTTGAGTATTTCCAGCTAACAATCTCTCCTTCAATTGACTTATGGCAACCTGTTAATAAAGCTTTTTTATTGGAATGATAAATACCCCTATTTTTTAAAGAATCTTATATTTGATATTAGAACTACGGATCTTGCCTGTAATTTCCATCATTTCTTGTTCTGTTAAAATCCTACTAAAGATCTGCATGTCAGTCACCTGAACTTAAGTAAGCTCCCAGACTCAATTTGCAAGTTGTGATTATTTTTTTTTACTTCACAGCAATTAAATATGTTACACAACAATGATCATGCTGGTTTACAGCATGTGCAAAGCATGTCGAAAATTATGAATGTATGTTAAACCAGGGAAATTGAAGATTTCCAAGAAACTATTATTTTGAGACAACTTAAATCATGTTTTTTCTGTTGTTAAAACTCATAAACTTCTTTTTTTATGTTTATATAGTTTAAAGTGTACCTTTCCATGAATGGACATAAAACCTGTTCCAACGGATCTCCAAAGACAGCCAGGCGAAACATTGTCAAAAGTTCCATTTACCCTCTTATAGAAATCTACCAAGGTCTCTCCTACAACCTCTAACGTCTTATTACCATTTTCAAAAAACTAAACATTAAAAACTGTTTGTGTCAACTGTAAATTAGTATCAAAGTATTATTAATATGCAGATTATTATCCCACTGACATTGATGATAACAATAACAGTTCAACAAACTATCTCTACTTGAATATCTATTGGTATTTACTTAACATTGTTGTGTTTGTTTTAAATCCCTGTTTATACCTTAACCTGTCCTGTTAGCATGTCTAAAGATATACATGTATGCTGCCAGGTTTGGAGATCTAAAGTTTTAGATCCCAACCCAATCCAATCAAAATCATTATCAAACCTGTACAAAATATCACTATGCATTAAGGTGCAGGAAAAACGTCAGGAGCATTATATTATCATCAATTACTTTGTTTTTAATCCTATCCAGGGTCCAGATGTCCAAATAGCATACATTATTCCCTCCTATAAAGTTGTCCTGTTTAAGATAGTTTACAGACAGATAGGTAGTTTATTTAAACAGACCAGTGGCAGAATTTAAAGAATTTGAGCTGCAGCTTAGATTTAAGCCACGGCTCAAATTTGGTTAGTTCCACTTAAAATTGTATTTAATTTTTCAAGATTTCATCTAAAGTGATAACCAGAAAACTGTAGAATAGGAAGACAATATTAAAATAATAGTGCACTGCATTTGATGTTGTTACAAAGCAAATAGCTTTAATAGTGAGTTATTATACTACTTTTTAATTAAAATTGGTCTGTTTACACTCCACAATTGATGTGTTTTATGTTCATTGTTCATTTAAAGTCCTAACTTGAGTTAAAAAGTCAACTTCCTATTCCAGAGTTTTCTAGCTATCATTGTTGGTACTTATGTTTTTGGTAAGTTGTTAAACTACTTTTGCATGGAGCATCATTCCAGGTATTTGTCAATCATTAAAGTCATAACAAATATCAAACAAAATTTGTTGCCAAATTGTATGTCCATATCAAAAAAGAAACTTTAAGCAGACAAAGGAATTGAGTTTTTGCCGCAAACTCGGATTTTTAAAACCCAAATGTCATAGACCGTAGATATTTCAAAGTATGAATTCTGGTGGATGTAATTTTGAAATATGAAAGGTATGCATCATCTGGTTGTTGAGATATAGGTATTTTAAAATTGGAATTTGTGTCAAAAACTCAATTCCTTTAGGGTACCTATAATTATCTTGTAAACAAAAAAACTTACCACATAATTTGTTCTGTTTTGATTCAAAGTTCCAAAAGATACCACCACAATATATGGAATCTGAAGGCTTTCAAAACGAACAGGAAATGTTCTTTAGAAAATAAAAAAATAATTTCTTTCTGTAGTAAAACAAGACAAATTTTTTCTAAAAGATGATGAATATTTTTTGGTAAACTGTAAACATAAACAGCTTTGATGTCCTCTAGCAAGGCTTGCATTTAAGGTAAAGTTACAGTGCTATTCTGAAAGAACCAAAATAATTATGAATCTTTGTTCCTAGATATAAGGCTGAAAATTCTATAATTTTCAAGCTATTTGCATTTGAATTTGCAGGACATACACAAGCTGGGGGTGAAAACAGAAAATTACAAAGCTATAACTAAAAGTATGTAAGTATTTAGTTTTTGTCCATTTTCCTTAATTTCAGAAAAATTTTAAATAGACAAAAACTAAATACTTACATACATTTAGTTATAGCTTTTTAATTTTCTGTTTCCACCCCCAGCTTGTGTATGTCCTGCAAATATTAATTAAACAGTTGAGTTTCCCATGAATAGAGTGATTATTAACAAAATGTACTGTCAATAGTATTTTAAATATTATTTAGTAACGGTGAGACAAGAAAAACAGTTAAAAGTATAAAATAATATAAAATAAGTCATGCAGCATTTGAACAGTGGTTCAGAGAGCAATTCGGATGAAGGGCTTGAATTGCATGTAGTTCTTTTCCCCCTTATAACAGCAACTGCATTAATAAATCACAAAAATGGGGCTATTTGTTGATGCCGATTATATAACTTGAAAATTTAAATAAACATTTCAGTCGTTTCCCAATTTGTTAAAAGTAATATTCTAAGCTCCCTGAAAAATTGCTGTTCAAATCTTTCTGCTTATGAACAAAGTTGCAGCGTTCACTAGTTTGAGAAAAATCTAAGAAGACCTTGGTTATTCCTGGTCTTTTTGAACAGCACTGCAACAATAAATATGCAAGGTACAAAATTTCGTAATTCCTTACTTGGCTATAACAGCTATAACCTGGAAACTGTAGAATAGGAAGATTAAGAAAGCAATACTGTGCATTTGATGTTGTCACACAGCAAATAGCTTTACTAAGTTATTAAGTCACTTATTAAGTGGAATGGGTCTGTTCACATTGCAAAATTGATGTGCCTCATGTTCATTGAACAATCGGAACCCATAACTTGAGACTTCATATTCCAGAGTTTTCTGATTTTCACTATATTATACTCCTTTGACGCATTTTTAACTGTAATCACACAACTGCTCAACAACACAATAATAAGTGATTTCTCACAGTACAGTTAGCTCACATGGATTTATTAAAGCCCTAAGATCCTACAGTTTGCATGTTCTTTCTAGAAAACGTTCTCACACTTAATTGTTTTAGATTTGGCAAGTGTAATGCTTGCTTGCCATTTTTTTCAAAATATTCCAAAATTAAAACAAAATTGTGAGCTGCCTTAGTAAACATTAGTATGTCATAGAAGCCCCTAGAGCTTATAGTGTGAAAGAATTAAATTTTTTTTTCAAAGTTTCTCAGATTTTAAAACAAAGCAAAAATGAATTTACCTAAAGCAAAATGACATAAGAGGGGAGTATTTGTATTCATCTTCACTAACAACACATTCCATGTCATTGCATGTGTTGCAATTATTGTTTCTAGAAATATGGAGTTCAGATAGAGCCAAACTGTATTGTTTGTAGTTTTGAATTACTGGAAGCCGTTTGAATTTTGAGATCCCTGATATTCTGTTCATCAAGTCATCAAAAGAAAAATTGTGCACATTTTTTTGCATGCGAGCATTTATATTTTGGATTAATTGTGAGTAAGTACCTGCATTATTGTTTTGCAGGGGTCCATATAATTCCACCCAATACTATCCTAAATTCTGATTGATTGATATTAGGGGTAGAAATTAACCATGTTGTTATTTTATATCATAATTTATCTCTTATATTGATTACTTATATCACGGAACTGCACTACATTTTTTTGAAGTACACATACACAGACGCCTCAATTGGGTTAAATAAGAAGCCATAGAATGTCGTTTGACAGATCTACTACAATTTATTAGTGTGTTGGCTTTTCTATTCTATAAGTTTTATATCTTTGCAACCCTCTATACTAAGGCGTGAGATCTCCAACAAAACTTGGTCTGAACTAGATTTATTTTTTAATAGTACGTAAAACTTTTACTTACAAACTAAACATTAAATACACGAATAGGAGTTCCCCAGGTTAAAGTACCAATAACATAGAATGAGCGTGGTGAGTCGGGCCAAAAACTTAAAGCACAAAGGAGAAGAAAACAAATGAAAACTTCAAACCTTAGATGGGGGAATCTCACACTTGGGCTGAAGGGATATTTATCTCACACAACTGAGCTAGGGGGGGGTTATGGAACCTAGGGGGAGTAGGAGATAATTGGCATAATTGCTTTGTAAGGGTTCTGATTTGTTAATGAAAAATTCTAGGTACTTTTAAATTGGGAGAATTGGTGGTTTAATTGACAAAACAGTGTAATGTGTGCCCTTATTGGTGGATAAAAAACTAGGTAATTTTTCATTGTCCCGGCTTATCGGGTTTACAAATACAAATCTAAATAAAGATGATAGAACTAAAATCTCATAGTATTTACAGCCATCTTTTCTATAGTTTAAAAAGATTTTAGGACTTTTTAAGCATTTCCATCATCAAAAACTAGCCTTTTTTACGTAATTGCCGTTAGAAATGCATGACTTTATTAACTTTTTAGGTAAACTTTATCTTAAAACAGATTGAAATGTAATTGGTTGAAAAGTTTGGCTACTTAAATCCAAGATTTTTTCGGGCCTCACTTACGTTACTGGCCTAAAATTCTGCTTAGACTATTACAAAACTATACTTAATGACATCTAACAAATTTTGTTTTTAAAATATGTGGTATTTTTCATAAATGCGTAACAAAATCACAATATTAGCTTTATTTTAGCAGGAGAGCATCCTATCCTATAGATGATAAAAACAAATTTAGAAGTTTATAACCATGTCGTAATTTTCAGCACCTACAATGATTAATTTATTTGATAACTATAGTTTTAATGTTGAATGTTTGAATTTAAAACCAATACTGCAGCTAGTGACGTCATTTAAAAATGTACAGAGCGTACACATTGTACAGATAGATTCCTAAAGACCTATCATCTACTATTCTACCGTCTTTGCATACCTCTAACTTTACTTTGAAGTTTGAACCCTGATTTTAATTAGGATCACAAATGGAATTATATGGACCGCTGGTTCTTTTCTCACCTTAGATCATAATACTTGTTTAAAAAGTAAACATCTATCGGAGTTCCTTGAGTTTTTATAATCCTGAAAAAAAATAAAAGAACCACTGAACTAAAAAAAATAGACCTACTGAATCGAAATGAAAGTAAAGAGTGGTTAATTAAATGCAAGAATAGAGTGGTGAATTAAATGCAGGGTATAGAGTGGTGAATTAAATGCAAGAATGGACATGCTGAAACAAAATGAAATTATAGACCCACCGAATCAAAATGAAACAATAGACAAACTGAATTAAAATGAAATAATAGACCTACTGAATCAAAATGAAATAATAGACCTACTGAATTAAAATGAAAGAATATACCTACAGAATCAAAATGAAAGAATAGACCTTCTGAACCAAAATGAAAGAATAGACCTACTCGATCAAAATGAAATAATAGACCTACTGAATCAAAATAAAAGAGTAAACCTCCTACTCAATCAAAATGAAATTATAGACCTACTGAATCAAGATGAAAGAGTAGACCTACTGAATCAAAATTAAAAAAAGACCTATAACTGAATCTCAATGAAAGAATTGACCTAAACAGAACTAAATCAAAGTGAGTCAAGAAGAATCAAATTCAAGAGAAGTTAAAGCTACTAATCCAAAATATACTTTCAATTATTCACATTTATTTTGAGGCCTATAGACAATATCTTGAGTTATTTAGTAAAGTAAAGGTTAAGAATAATATCATAAGTGATACAATAAAAAAAACTGTGAAAAAAGGCTGTTTTAATAAACTGATTATTTGTTTTCAACTCTATAACTTTCTAATACTTTAAATCTCTGCAACCTAATAACTTTTGATATTTCAAGCTTTAAGCTTAACATATCTTTCGTTTACTTCATCAGGTTGCATAACTAAATGTAATAGGAATACAGGGTTCAAATGATAAGGCCAATACAGAAAGTATACTTTCTATTTGATTACATTCTTACATTCCAGTCTAATCCTTTCTGGGTAACCCCAAATAGATTAATTATCAACTAGAATAGGCGGCAACAGAGAAATGGACCAATTATACACGATGTCACAGGTGTAAATTATAACAAGGAAAACGAAATTTTATCACATTGGTTGACATGTTTTTCAAGATTAATAAAAAAGACTAAAAACAGACACAAAAGAACACATAAAATTGCACTTTATTCTAAAATTATCACTATTATTAATAATTTTGTTGGACACAATAAGTGAGTTGACACTTGTGATGACAGAATACAGCTGTGCTGAGAGTGTACAAATTCTACGTTGCCTTCTACTGTACTAGAATCTATTCGGGTAACCATGTATTTTGTTGTATAGACTATTACTCTCATAACTTACACTATCGCCAGACAGAAGCTCAGGACTTTCAAGGCAATATTTAGTTTTCCAAACATATTATAATATCTATAATTTTTCTTAAAACAAAAAGTACCATTCATTCTGGGGTTTAAGTGGTACTTCTAATTTTTCTGATGAGTAAATTCATTTCTTTGTTGATAGTTGGCTCTAACATGGACCTTTGAGCTATTTATATATTAGTTTTTAGATTACTGAATAAACCAGCTTTTCTTAAAGAAATACATAATTTAGATAATCTGAGAATCTTTATAAAATCGCTAGCTTACATATTAATTCTCACATTTATAGGGAATTCTAGGGATTCATTCCGTTCTAAACCTCAAAGTTAAAATATCTTACGTTATTTTGATAAGAATGTTTTTTTTTAAGTTTAATTATTTCACACCAGGCAAATACTACCTTTACGATAAAAATCTGAAAGCTTCTTATATACAATTGCCAGGAAAGCTGAATAACCTTTGACAATCTTAACATGTCTAAACTTTTGCGATCAAAAGCTGGTGCTTTCTTTAAAGTTTCCAAAAAAATGACTTCACATGCATTTTTTCATTGCTTCAAAGTGAATTCAGAATATCACTGGATAAATTAAGTTTTCCTTCTTTATTTTGATCAAAATTGGGTGGATAGAAGTATGTTGTAAATAGTTTAGGGAAGTTAAGGAAAATTTACTTTACCAAGGGTTAATATGACCTATTTTGCCTAAAAAAACAGCCCTGCATACAGGCTACTCTCTGTATCTTTGATTCAGAGAATTAAAAGAAGTAAATCAATATTATCATAGATCAATAATGTTGGTCAAAATTGCTAACAACCCAATATTGGCATCCTTAGAAAATAAAAACCAAAATGACATTTTCGTTTGTCCAAAGTGAAGCAATTGTTGTGCTTCTAAATGTTTTCTTTTGAATATTTCATATTTATTAAAAAAGCATATGAATGTAAAAACTATGATTCCATTGGTGTTATTAAAAACCTGTTTATTTTGATTGATTAATGAACATTTTTGTATTTTTTTATTCAAATCTTGTTTTTGAATTTTCAAAAAGATAAAATACACATAATGACAAGAAACTGTTTATGATATGTATCCCCTAAGATTTCTGTGTTACTGATTGTAAAAGTATCATGCTATTGTTTAAGGATTAAATATTTATAAGCTGTTTCCTATAATTTCTTTATTTTGCTACATTTATTTCTCTCAATCTTCGAAAGCAATCTTCATTTTTAAATGGAGCTATTTAAAGTGCAAATCTGCAAAAATTCTTAGAAAATCTTGAAATCCTTGTCCGCTGTTTTTGTATATTTCAAAATTGAAAATTGACTGATGGGCTAAAAGAAATAAAATATTTGTTTTTCCATGATCATTGATCATTGATCTGGTCAAGATCCTTCCATTAAATCAGTAAGCTCACTGTGCACAAAATAGTAATGCAGATTACAATGTGCACAATGTATATAATAATAATATGTTTTAATCTAGCTTGGAAACTACGTTTGCCAACAACATTTTTTTAACAATTTATTTTCTAAATTCAAAATTTTTAACAAAATTTTTCCAACAAGAATTAAATCTTAAAAGGTTTGGCACATTACTTTTATTGTGTGTGGACTACATTATATTCTTTTGCTATTACTTCTGCAAAGTAAAGTTTGCGCAATAATTAAAAGAAAACGTTTGCATTATTTTGCGAAAGTTGTCTTTTCTTGGAATCTCTAGTTACCAAATGAGAACAGTTTTTTGGCATTTATTTCCAAACCTTTTTTCATTTCATATTAAGTTACTCTTTGTTGGTGATTAAAAACTTGATTTACTATTCTAATATAAGCAAAATAACAATAGTAAGATGTAAACAATTCAGCTTTTTCTAATATCCATATAGATTCTTCCAAAACATCATTCTTGCATTGTAGCTATCGCTTGATTCCATTTCAGATTTACGAGTTCTAAAAACATTTATTTTTTAAATTGTTTTGTCATATTTTTTAAACTGAAATTAGTTTTAGAAATTGAGCAACTTTATCGTTTAAATCTGCAACTGTTAATTTCATAGAAAATTGTGAATTATATGTACAGAAAAAAGCTATATTTCTAGAAAAATTCATTAATAGCATCGTTTTTTTTCGGAGATTGCAATGTGTAGTAAAAATAACTATTTCGAATGAAAGTATCTTATCTGGTACTGGCGTGTGCTTTCCTTAAATACTTTTTTGGATATCAGAGTCAGGAATAAAACTAAGTGAATAAAACTTTTTTAAATCCTAATTTCTAATTTTGAGGTGGAAGTAAAAAAAATTAGACTAATATTGAAAAGCTCAGCTTTTTGATATAGGTTCACTTCAAAATGGATACCTTGAAGCTTGGCAATATTTAATGTTACCTCATATTAAAATACTGGTAGTTGTCTAACTGAACAGGATTCCAGGTAAAGCGTGAACCTGGAGGGAAAGGTTGACCTGTCCTAGCAAAGCTGACCCAGGCAGAAACCATAAAGTCAGATATCTCCTGGTCTGTAAAATCCAGTGGAAAGTCACTAAAAAATACAAATTGCGATGTAGAGTAATTTTATTTTTTTTATAACAAAAAAATAGTTTTTACCTTCCAAAAAGTGGGTTATAAAAGTAAAATAAGTCATCAGCATGTGTTACATCTTTTAAATTTGGCAAAACACTGTACTCCCCCTAAACATCATACGTCGTCTTTAAATTTAATCCTGACAGTGAACATGATTTTACCTTATGTGTGAAAAAGTACTGATGCACTGGAATATTCCTAAACAAATTTTTAATATCCACAATATTGGTCATTTCAAATTCTTTTTAAATAGAAGTCAAATCGAAAACACCATCTCTGTGTTTGTTTGTGAATGAAAAATTTCTTTATCATTGTTGTTGTAAAATGTGAAGGGCAAGTTATCATTGAAGTTAAAACAGAAATTTTCAAATGTTATATATTGTTGTTATAGTTATATCGTGCTATTTCAATGTGTTGATTTCTGAAAAAGAGGATATATTTACCAACTCAAATGCTTTAAGCAGTGTATACAGTTTCAATTATTAAATCCAAACATTTATATGGTAAGTATACCAAAGGATGTTACCTAGCAATAAGAGCTCTTGCAAATGCATGCTGACTAAAGGTGAACAGAACATCTCCTGTCATTAGAGAAAGTTCGTCTGATGTTGCTCCATCCGTCAAATTGTAGAACTTCCTTTAAACATTTTTGTTTAATGTAATTTAAACACAAAAAACTTATAGAAATATGAAAGTTTATTAAAGTTGTTAATTCTTAATGCATCGGACATTTATTTCGACCTTGTTTGGGTGCTAATTTTCTTCTGAATTTTTTAGCTTGTGGTTCAATGGTAAACCCTCACTTTTTGCCAAAAATCCTTTGTTTTTCCCAAACATTAAAAATATCCTAATAATAGTTGATGTCGAATCACTAAAATAAAACTACAGAAATAAAGGAAATAGTTTAGCTGACAGAAATCTATAGCAAAGCTTTAACCAAACATTAACTTTTTATGTTGGAAGATGAACCTTATGTTATGGCTTTTTTTCAATCCACTAATTTTAAACAATTAAAAATATTTTTTTTCTGTTTAATTGTAAGTTAAAAACATAGTGTTTGTTTGATTCCCAGTTTTTTCACTTTATATTTAAGGCTACTGTTATTTAATTATCACAATATTATAAACAGTGTTAAGGGCTGATTTTTTCAAATTGACACTCAAAAACATCAAGACATGTAAATATCATAGTTCAACAAATAAGTTAGAAGACAACGTTTAAAAACATCAAGATAAATAAAAAATTATCTTTTAGGATTTGAAAGTTTCATGCAGTTTGAAGCAGAAAAAAAACACATTATTTTAAAAACACAACTGTTCGGTTTTTTAACTATCAAATTTTTTTTTAAAAACAGATATTTATGTTGGTTTGATTTAAAAATCAACAGTTGTTGCCTTTTGTTGACAGACTCTTCCATTGATTTTCAAAATCCTTTGTTTCATTAATGGTACTTTGCCCAGCCCTAAGCAATCAAGGTTTTACTTTTTATTACAAATAATGAATTTTTTGATATTTTGAAAGACTCTACTTTTGCAGACACATAAAATGAATTTTTACTGTATTTCAATGCATCGACTCAACTCCAGTTCTGGGTCTTCCCCTGCTTTTTCATCAAGAATCTAGGAATTAAATGTATCATTTACTCTCAGACAAATTAGAATCAATGGAAATTAAACCCCAAAGGGATTCAATGTTAAACCCTTGGGCTAATTCTAATTTGTCTGAGAGTAAATGACATTCCTTCTTAAAGAGCTGGTTTTGACGTTTTCATGAAAATAAAAATAAATCATTGAAACCTGCCGGGATATTTTCATTGAAAGATACTTTGAAAATCAAGGCAAAAAAAATCCACAAAACCATTGCAAACCTTGCGGGATTAAATGCAACCATTCATATTAAATCGATTAAAAGGGGAGGAATTAAATAAAATTGTTGCATACCAAAAAACCAGCTTTTTATAAAGGAATGATTTTTTCAGTCTTTTAGTTCAAATTGCATCAAATTGTACAGTTTGGAAAGCCCTTGACCCAGAAGAATATTCAAATATGAAAAAACATTTGCAAATTTTAAAAGTGTGTATTAAAGAAAATCTGAAAGTTCCCTTTAAATGCGTCTGTGCAAAAGTCTGTGGAAAATTTCTTGACAGAAATTGTGCAATCTGCTTGCTTTCAAAGAGCTATAAAATATTGAATCCTATGACTGGAAGTAGGTCTAAATATAGATTTAGTCAGGTGAGGGTAAACAAGGCATTTCGGTAGTTTGCCTTAGGACTCAGGCAATAGGTATAAAAGCCCAACTTTTGCCTTAAGTGAAGGGAACGAGTTAGTTAGAGAATGTAAGCTCTCTAGCTCAAATACTTTTAACCCCCCCATCAGGCTAATGGGGTTAGTAGGTTGTGAAAAATACAGCCATTGGAGGTAACAGTTAAAAAGGAGTTGACTAATGAAGCCAGCTATGGTTTATTTCTGTATTATGGCTGACTGGTTACCATGGTTGGACATACAAGAGGAAAAAATAGTCCAAGAAGTTTGATTTCCACATCAGAGAATTGATTTATAAAGTATCTTCCTTCATCCTATTATGAAATAAATCAATTAACTTCACCACAGTTCACAAATTATTTGATAATTGATCTTATCTTCTAAAACATAATTACTTTTCTGAGATCGTGTTTATAAAAGTATAAATCGTCAAGATTACCCACAATTTCACAGATTTTATTCAACCTAAGATTTTCTTTTAATCTACAACAGATCTTAGTTTTCTTTTCTTTGTCTCTTCATTCATTAGAAGTTACAGGATTCCTTTTTCAGATGTACATTTTAATGTCCCATAGCTATGCCTTTATCATTATCACATGTAACCTTTGTTATGTGTACTGGTTTCCCAGAGTCCATAACTAAAGAGCAAAAAGTTTTGACTTAAATTTTAAGTTCATGGTTAAATGCCACTTCTGCCTTAATTTAACTCGCCGAAATCGACGAGTTAAAATTTAAACCCAGGGTTAAAATCTTGAAATCCTGCATTTTCCCTATTTGTCTATTATTCAATCGTCATTCAGCTGAGAGAGCGGCATTCAACTTTATGATACATTTAAAAGTGAAAACCTTGCTAAAGAAAAATCACAAATTTAGATAAATTAATTTTTGCATGTAAACCCAAAAAAATGGTTGTAACTGGAAATATGTTTTGTTTTCGGTTACGTAAATATTTTAGTAAAACAGGTGATTAGCGATGGTTACGTAATATACTTCATAAATTTTTTTCTCTGATTGGGTGAGATTTTTCCCCGGAAATTCAAATTTCCATTCAAGGTTAAATTGAGAGTTTAATATTTCAACTCATTATTTTACAGAACTTTTAAACTTTAACTTAAACTTTGCGCATTCTTTAGTTTAAGACTCCGTCTGTACCATATTTTTTTAATGCAATTAAGTTTTAGTTGCTCACCCCCTAATTACCAGCCTTCCACAAATTAAATACATATATTACCTTAACTGTCCCCAAGACAACTTCAATATCAGTGTTAAGATTTTCTGATGATAGGCCTTCAAGGATGTTTTCAGGGAAAAATGGATCTAAACCAAAGAAATAACCCTAGATTTGTATATTGACAAGCTGATTCTGTGTTACAGACACTCAAAAGGAAACTGACTGAAATTAACATTTTTTTTTTTCATTGTGTTCCAGTAACTAGGACATCTAATCTTTAAATTGAGATTCATTTAAAATTTCTTCAAAAGTCCCTTTAAGATGTGATTTAGGCAAATAAACACTCTAAGAATTTACAAATATTCATCTAGCAAATTTTGTTGGAGCACGGGCATCAAATTCACCTTAGTAGACTTATTCAATGATTATGTTAAGGTGTAGTTGATGCCAGTGTTAGGTGAAAATTTGAATTTCTTGAGAGCGAATATATAAATAAAGGGTCGCTTGAAATTCAAATCAACAGTTTGTTACAGTCAAGCAAATTTTCATTTCAAGATTTTTCATAGTTTGTTTTAGCCTTTTTTTCTGACTTTTAATCCTACTTGATGTAAAAGAAGAATCCAGATATCCATTCCACCTTGTATCAGCACTAAATCCATTTAAGATTTCATCAACAGATTTACTTTGGAGACAGTTCAGAGTATCTTCAACATGTATTAGCTTGATTTAAAACAATTTCTAACTTATGCCTTAAACTTTTTGGGATAATCATGAACTTTTCAAGACTGCTAAAGATTTGATTTAATAATTATAATTATCTGTTTGGAATCATCATATAACCATGAACATAAGGAACATTATCATTAAAATAAAACAGACACCCTCAGTTTCTGTTATTTATGTTACATATAATTTTGATTAATTTCCCAATCAAGTTACCATCCAGCTGTTAACATTTTAGATTAATTTGAACTTTTAAATGCTGTTTTACCAGTTCCTTAAAAATTACTAATTTTATTGTAGGTTGATTTAGGTAGGCTAATAATCAGTAAAGAAAATGACATTCTAATATTTTTTTCCTTGTAACTTAAGCACATATAATTTAATGAAAAAGTATCAATTGTTTTTTTTTAAAATTTTCATTAGTTTTTGAACAGAATGTTGCCAAGCCCTATGGTGCTAAAAACCTAAGTTGAGTCAAACAATTTATGAAAATCCCAAATTTGATTTTAATCATGGTTTAAGTTAAGTTAATGTTCCTGAAATGCAAGACATGTTTGCAGCATAACTAGATGCAAAGGTGGTTGCGGATGAAGCCTTTCTCACTGTGTAAGCTGAAACATTGAATTGAATTATTACTTCTTAAATAGCCAGTTGTGCAACAAGAGAACTAAAACTGAAAACTGATGAGTGAGCTAGCTGCAATATACACCAAACAATTACAATGCAATGGGAGAGGGTAGTAACCTTGCTCACTCTCACCCCCCCCCCCCCTCTTGCCCTCAAGAATTCATTATAGTTCCGAGGATACAGGGTTTGGAAAAATAGTTCTTCCTTGTAAATTGGCTAATTACAAGGACATCTAAAAAATTCATTTTCAAAATTAGCCAAAGTATGATTGAAGGATAGGTGATCAAAAAAAATGGAGAACAAGAAATATAGAAATCTCAAAATATTTCCATCTGATATCAAATAGATTTTACATAAATATTTAAAAATATTGTAAAATTTAATTAGAATAAATACTTCTAAAATAGCATTTTAATTCAGAAAATCACCTGGAGATAAAGGGCCACCGCTCTGTAGTATTGCTCGCTTAAAAAGTGTGTTTGAATTTGGAGTTATAATGTGGTAACCTATACTAATGGCTCCAGCAGAGCTGCCAAACACAGTCACCTGAATCAAATTAAACCAAGCAGACGTTTTCAAGTGTTTTTTTCTTTTATAGGCAGGATTACATAGGATGTGCTGAACCATTGTGAAGACTTTTAAATTAATTAATTTTTAATCCTCTAGTTTAAAAAAGATTGAGATCAATACTTAATCCTTGGGGGTATGAGAAATTGTGGTGTTATTCTTTGCAGGCACATTTTTAAATTTACCCATCATCCCCTAGGTAATCCTGAGTGTAGCACTTGAAGAATTTAACCTTATATACCTGATCTTTATCTCCCCCAAATGTTCCAATATTTTTTTGAACCCATTTAAGAGCCAGATTTTGGTCCCAAAAACCAGCATTTCCAGGAACCTGGTCAGATTAAAAGGAAAACATTATTCTAGGAATTTTTACTGTAATTTAATAAAAGCTGAGATTTTAAAAGTTCAACCCTAAGTATAACCTGGCTTTAGCAAATCTGAAAACTAAAGTTCATTGGAAGTGCCTTACCAACCTTAAATGAGCTATGAGCAAGTTGTACAGTAAACATATAAAAAAGTTAAAGGCAGCAAAACTAAAATGCATTGGTATTTACTGTGAGAAATAAAGCTATTGTGAAGATAATGGATCCCAATTTTCCTCACAATTCCGCAACCGTTCATCAGAAAAACAAATTCTCAATGCGACACTTCATCCAGAGGCCGAATTTAAAGAATTTGAGCCGTGGCTTAAATTTGAAACGCTGCTCAAATGTGTTTGGTTCCACTTAAAGTTGTATTCAACGTTTTAAGATTTAAGCTAGCGGCGGTCAATTAAAACCTATTTTTGGCAAAGACATAACTCAAATTCATTAAATTCGGACTCAGTCCTACTTTTTTACTGGCAAAGTGAACATCTAAATATAAATTACTACAGAACAAAATGTTTGGAAATATTTTAAACCTCTTGTGTGCCTAGGCTAAGAAAGCCAAAGGGTCCAAGTCTATAATTAATGGTGACCAACACAATATCCTGATCCATTAAGTAGATGGGTCCTAATTCTGAGAAACCACCGCTACCACTAAATTATTTACAATTATAGCATAGGTAATAAAGTTGAAAATAAGATCAAAATATTGGAATTTAAAAATTCGAACATTTGTAATTGCAACTGCCTTACAGGGAAGTTAAGACAATTTTGCTTTACCACGGGTCCATGGTTAAGTAAATTTCTTTTTGTCTCTCTAGATGAAAATGAGTGAATTTGTTCCCAAAAACTTTGTTAAGTGGGTGGTCATTTTACAAAACTGTCCCAAGGCATATTAAGTAACTTAACCTCCCTGTGGTAATTAATATAGATCCGTGATGTTGGTCACAAGGCAGAAAATCATTTACCACAACTACCTGGGGAAAATAATGGAATTTTACTTTACCAAGGATTCATATGACCAAGGGAATCTATGGTAAAGAAAAGTTTTTTTTTGTTTCCATAAAAAGTAGATGTAGACAATCTTTTAATTATGTACTATTTTTTCAGGAAAACTTTACAGAGCAAGATGTTGTTACTTAACATTCTGCTGTTGTGATAATCATGAGTTGGTAATATTGGTTAAAAGGCATAAAAATGGCTTAATGATTTTTCAACGTAACACTAAATTTAACTTACTAAACAAAGCTTCCTCCATGTATGTACACAAGTACAGGTAATACTGAAGAACCGGTTTTTGCAGTACTGTACACATTCAAATACAAACAGTCTTCATCGCCTTGAAGTAAATGAGATTTATCACAACATACCAACTGTTTTTCAAATTTGTTTATATAGTTGTAAATTTTCACGGTTTTAAACTGCTTAAAATTCTTAAAAATTCTCAAGTTAAAATCCGCTCAAATCGCATATTTTGCATGTAAAATTGCCACTGGAGATTTAAAAACTTGAAATCAATTCCTGTAGTTAATTTGGGAAAGCCCAAACTCCTGTTATGAAATAAAATAACTTTTATTACATACTAAAAATTGTTTTATATGGATTTAATCTTCTAAATTTGATTGTTAAAATTAGGTTAAAATTGTCATTTTGTTACGCATTTCATTTGTATGAAAATACCAAAAATGCTAAACAAAATTTGTCAGATAAACTTAAATTTAGTTTTCATGAACTATAAAGGAATATTTTAGGCCACTAAGGTAAGCTGGGCCCAAATAAACCAAATATTAAACTAAAACTAAAAGTTGTAATGTATTTTAAATAAATATATGCAATTTTAAAGTTTACGCATTTTTACAAATTTATTTCAAATTTTCATATAACTTAATATATATATAAATCATCGTTTGGGTTTCAAAGTCCAAAACTAACTGTTTGTCTTTTTTTTAAATGAAGGTTTGCCAATTTAGAAAAATTAAAAACGAAAAAAAGCTTTTAATATTTTCCATTTTATTTAAATATGGTTACAATATTTAACTATATAACCATAGATCATTAAATTGTATTATTGAACATCTAAATTATACAATCCATAAATTTGGAAATGTTTCTTGGGACTATTCGGATTTATAATGAAGGAGAGAGATAGATTGGTTGTTTAAGTGTATATAATACCTGATCTTTGTCTTACTTGAACACATTTGTTTACAACAGTACTGGTTCCAGTGTTAATTATTTCTGTGAGAGGATTGGAGAATATTGGTTCTTGAGGAGGTTTAAACCTTTAATATCAAAACATCACACATTATATATTTAAATTGCAGGCTTCTATTTTGATTGCATCTTTATAGCAATTTTGAACTTTTTCTCTACACCTCACAAGTTATGATTCAACGATTTACGCAGATCAAAAGACTTATCGTTTTCCTAGCTCAAAAAGTTAAACTCTGATATTTTCTACATTGCCTCTAATAAGCATGGAAATGCGCAAGTCACTTTTGCGGAGAAACCATAAGTTTATTGAACAGTGTAAAGAAACAAAATTATGGATATCTAAGTCATGCTTGATAAGATAAAGCAATTAAGGTACCATTGTAAATCGGGCAGTGCTATCTTTCAATGTAAGGTAACTTGAAATAATGCTTAGATACAGTATCCATAAACTACAATTGGGGCACTGCGTCAGATCTTGCTTACAATGTCACCCAGTTTTTTTTTTTGTAGAATCCCATCATCAATATGCTTATTATACAACAAAAAAACAGGGAAGAATTAGAAACCCGAAACAGAACAAAGATAGTTTTTCAGCAGAGACAGGCCTATCGTTCATTGTTCATGAACAACCTATTTCATGTGTTTTTCACAATCGTTTGAAAAAAATTATTTCGTTCATTTTCTATTTATTTCGTTCAATTTCTCACTGAACAATATTTTGTTAAGTATAACAACAATCTTTTAAAAAAATATTGGCTCATTAAAAAAACGACTGATAAGTTGAAGAAAAGTATTGGTTAGTTAAAGTTTTGTTTAATTTAAATCATTAATGGGATGACAAAAACACACTTTTCAAAAATTATGCCAATCCTTCTTAAGGTTAAAATTTCACCTAAGGTTACCAATAGGTGGCTGGGCAAATGGTATTCCTTGAAAGGAAGCATACAAATTCCCACTATGTGAAGGTAAATAGTTTCCTGTTAAAGAAACAGAATACTATTAAATTAATATTATTGTAATAAAATATATTTGTTGAAACTCTTCGGAGACTTTTGGATTATTGATAAATCATATTGCAAATATTCTTCCCTATCAGTGTTTTGAATCAGCTGTTCATTTTGATGAAAATCCGGACCTGGATCCTGGATCCTGGATCCGTATGAACAAAGTAGCGGATCCTTATCCAACTCATGAGAATTTCTTTAAATTATGCTGATTTCGTTTCCCAAAAATATATTGTTTTACTTCACTACAGCTCCCCTCAAAACAAATTAAATCAAAAATATGAAATCTAAGGAAAAAACCCCGCCAAATAATTCTAATTTTTAAATAAAATGCATTAAACAAAATTTACTTTACCTGTGATTCTTAAAGTGCCCTGCAAAATGGTGGTTGTATTTACAGATAGGTCTACCACTGGACTGCCTGGATCCAATTGAAGAAATGAAGAAAAATTTTAAAATAAAATTTTTTTAAAGAGATTCTTCTTAAAAACATGTTTTTTAATACCTGAGGTAGTATTGCGGAACCCGAAAAAACCTGAAGAATGACAAAATTTAAAAAAGGTTTGAAATTGCAACAAAACTTATTTTTATTTAAACACCATATTAAAGAAAATAACAGAGCAAACTCCATGCTAAACAGTTCCTCAAATGATCACAAAACCTTTATTTATGACAAATGACAACTCTGATCTGAAACTTGGGAACTTTGTTTAAACCCAATTTTCGGATTTCTGCAGCTCAGACAAATAAGAAAAAAACACAACATTTTTCAACTGATAAAGATTTGAAGGGTTGTTGTTAATTGTTTATAGTATTCTTAAAAATAAACTTTGACATTGTTTTTTTTGTGAGAAACAAACATGCAAAACCGTGCAAAAGAAAAACAAAAAATTTACAATTTTCTAGATCTTAAAAACACAAAATGTTAGTTTTCTAAAATATACAATTTTTTTTATGATGACTATTTATTGTTAAACTTATCTGATAATTATCAGACTAAACCAAACTATATGGCAACTTACATATACATCACCTCACAATGTGATTTTACATATTTAACATATTTTTAAGCATATTGATATAGAATATGGTTTACTTGCGTACAAGTGGAACCAGGTAGGATTAAAATTTTAAAAACATTTCTCACGCTAGAGGTGCCAGCATCAACCTTGTCTCTTATTGCAGGAGAACTTATGTTTGACACTAAACTATGAAGTTTATACGTGTAGATGTTGTTGTATCAGATGACACCCTGTAAAAGCAAGTGAGCCTTATCCTGTTTTCTCTCAGCTTCCCACAGACACAGTGACCTCAACGGTGGCACATTTATTAAAATGCATTCATAGCAGTGTGCTTACACGCCAGGGGAGATGGACTCCAGCTAGTCCAGACAGGAAATGGGGGGGGAGGGGTGGGGTGGTGTGCGTGGGGAAAATAAACTCTATCTATCTCTGTCATGGTACACAATCCACCACCCTATCGATGTTGCTGCTGTGTCATCTAGGGGGATTATGAGATAAGCTTTAAGTCCTCTATAAGGGCTTTAACTCAACACTTCTCTTCCTCCATGGTTTCCAATATCTTCTTCAGCTGCACTTGAGGTAGATTAATTCAACAAATTTCATTTTGCCTTTCAGTTTTCCTCCATAGAGCTATCACCATGCGGAATATCGAATAAAGAATTAATCTGCAGATTAACAAAAGATCGAGATCAAGAACTGATTTAGATTTTCAGTATGTTTAAAGTGCATATCCATAGTTAATCCCAAATTAAAATTGTAAATTGTTTAAGTCTGATAATGTTTCCATTGTTTCTAAAACCAGAAATGCCCAGGTCATTTTTGCAGAGAAACCACAAAATAGTTTTCAAAAACCAAAACAAGGATATCTAATAATCTAGACAAAGCTTTTAAAAGAAATGCATATATGTTGACTTAAGTCCGGCCCTATAAAATTTTAAACAATATAGTCTAAAGATATTCTTCAACTAAGATACGAAAATAAAACGTACTTATAAATAGCAGATGTTATTTCTTTTAAGATTTGTAAACTAGGTCGAAATTTGACAAGCACGCCTAGTTATTCTTTATACTTGAACAGACATAAATAAGATTCAATAACGTCAAATTCTGGTCAAATTTTCTTACATTTTTTTCTTAAAGGGATTTAAACGTAATTTTAGCTCTTTATTTTTACACTGGCATCTCCGATCCCGAATGGTTCCTTTGCCTCATGAATAATGATTAAGTTAAACTTTGTTTTTCGTCTTATGTATATATGCACCATGAGACTTTATATAGTTTTAAGCTATCTTTTAGATTTAAATTTCCGAACCGGGTCAACCTTTCCGGTCCCAGTTTGTACTGTAGCTAGCTCAATGAACAGGACTAGCCGGTGCAACAAGGTTGACGCGGTCAGACTTTATGCTACATATAGGTTGAATTTACTTTCACTAAGGAGGCAGAGCTGCGTGAGACTGTTACTAAAGAGGCAGAGCTGCGTGAGATTGTTACTTAAGAGACAGAGCTGCGTGAGATTGTTACTAAAGAGGCAGAGCTGCGTGAGATTGTAAATTCATGGATCCAAATCTTTAAATGAAATTACGCGAACAGTCTCTTTAAGAGGAGAAAATAAGGTCAAAAGTGAGAGTTTGATTTCTTAATTGTTTTCTGTAACTAATTATTCAATTTTAAACTAAATGTGTTTTATTTTCTCATCTTATTTTTCTATCAATTCATCTTTTAATTCATGGTTTAGTTCATCCAGCCAGAGAACTTTATATTTGGGTTGCGGCAGCAAATCTTTACTAGAGAAAAACATTATTATCAACGATGCTAAAAAATAATCCTTTTTTTTCAATAAAAAAAAGTTCGGAACTTTTGACAAATCTACAACACCTGAGGCCGAATTTTAAAAATTTAAGCCGCGGCTCTAACATGGTTGGTTCCACTTGAAAATGTATTCAGTGTTTCGAGATTTAAGCTGGCGCTCAATCGGAACCGTTTTTTTTTGCGGATATCTATATATATATGTTCTTCGCTCATATATATATATATATATATATTTGTATAATTGGCTGAATTTTTTTTCTTTAAAATTCGAGTTTTCTTTATAGCAACGGGCAACGCCGGGCACTTTAGCTAGTATTATATAAAGCAGTAATCTCGGTTTGTATATTTGTATTTCTGATCATAACTCAGGAACCCCTCAAGCGACTTGCCTCACATTTTGATTGGGAAACTGTAGTACCACGAGGTTGTCTAAAGCTAGCTAGGTTTAGAAATTCTTAATTGAAAAGGTTGAATCTTGTAAAGAAAACTTAGTTTCCAGTCAAAGCTGGGTTCCCAAGCTAGCACTGATATATAAAGTAGTAATCTCTATTGGTCTGAAAAAGAAACATAGTGCTCTGTTTACAAACAAAGTGTACTGCAATTTTTGGGAGGAACGTAAACAAACGCAATGCAGCTCAGCTAGCCTGAGCTTTGTTTTTATTACGGTTTATATATTTATCTATATATAAATTTGGCTTGTCTGTTTGTCTGTCTGTTTGTATCCAATAAACATCAAAACGGCTGAACCGATCGGGCCCAAATTTTTTGTGAAGGTTTATGAATCATCAAAATTTCAAATATTTGTCTCCATCAAAATTCGATCGTCATTAAATTTTTTAAAATTTTGAAAATCCGCGAATTATTTTTGTTTTGTTTTACGATGTACACAAAGAGAACATGTTCACAATTAATTTAGGAGATGGGCGCGAAGCGCCATCTAAAGCTAGAAAGAATGGCGCGAAGCGCCTTGAATTTCTAGTATATATATATCTGTATTCTGTATTCTATATATCTATATATGGGAAGTGTGGAGAAAGCACTTAAGATCAAGTTAAATATTCCATATATATATTTATATATATATATATATATATATATGTATAGATATATGTAGTCTAGTAAACACCTACTCAATAACAAGTTCTTGAATCGTATCTATCCAGGTCCAACCCGTTCGCTATCAAAGTCAACCAGGACACAACCCACCTGGCTCTAAATGCCACACAAGAACACAAGCGTAGCTATCTAAAAAGCTATAAATTCAGTGCTCTAAATTCTACACAGGGACACACACCTAGCTTTTCAACAAGCTGTATATAGATCCCTAATGCTTGGGACGATCCACTCTAAATGCCACTCAAGGACACAAGCCTAGCTTTCAAACAAGCTATATGTCGATCCCAAATGATGGGGACACTCTGCTCTAAATACCACACAGGGACACAAGCCTAACTTTCAAACAAGCTATATATTAATCCCAAATGTTGGGGACACTCTGCTCTAAATGCCACACAGGGACACAAGCCTAGCTATCAACAAGCTATATTTCAATACCAAATGACGATCCTACCTATTTTATACAATTTAATGTTGTAAACTTTACAATAAACTCTAAATGTTGACACAGAAGAAATGTCCTTTTTGTCATAATATTGATGAATAGAAATTTAATCTTTGCAATCAATTGAGGTTAAAATTCAAATCACTGACTATAAAAAATACCAAATCAGCATCGTTGATTTATCAAATCATACAATTGAAAAAACATCTTAAAGACAAATATTTTGACAAAAATTAAAACTTATGTAACATTATTTCAATGTAAAAGTTTGTCATGTAAAAGGGTGAAAGGAGCTGAGAAATAAATACCTATGATACACACAAATATAGATAAAAATACGTCAGATTATTAGATAAATAGATAAATAGATAGATAGATAGACAGATAGTTAGATATATATGTAGCTAGGTAGTTTTAAAAATATTGAGAGATAGAAACAGAGATACACCGTTCATCTTTTTATATAAAGTAGTAATCTCTGAGTAATTGATTGCTTGTATGTCTGAATAACACATGAACCCCTTGATTTGGGTAGACTTTAACAGGGAAAACTTGGTTTTCAAGCAAAGCCGGGTTCCCATGCTAGGGAAAATGTTAGATAATAAAATGATACATGAAAGAGAGATTTAAAAACTAGCTTCTTTCTGTGTCATATTATATTGTAAACCAATAAAATACTTAAATTCCAAACAGAACATCAAATATAGCCTTAGATCATTATATTAATTTTTTTTGGGTCGTCATTGATGTCTCATTCTTCGTGGGTAACCCTGTGTAGGGCTGGAAAGCTAGATATAAAGATACAAAGTACAAAAGAAAGTGCGAAATTATAATAATAAATTATAGATGATTAGATAAATTAATTAATAATAGATATGATATTGATAGATGCTAGATAAATACATATATAGTACATATATATAGATTGTAGATAGATAGATATACAGAAAGAAAGAAAGATTAATAAATAGATAGAAAGAAAGACAGATAGATAGACCTATATATATGGATAGATATTTACATAGAAAGAAAGAAAGATAGATGGATAGATAGATAAAAAGAATGATAGATAGATAGATAGAAGGATATTTATATAGAAATCAAGAAAGAAAAAAGACATAAAGAAAGAAAGAAAGATCGATATATAGATAGAAAGAAAGAAAGATATATATATATATATATATATAGATAGATGTATAGAAAGAAGATAGATAGATAGATAGATATATATATATATAGAAAGATAGATAGATAGCTGTATATAAGGACAGTATACTTGAGCTAGTAGTCTCAGGCTGCCTATAAACATATTTAAAGCTTTCTCTAAAATACTCTGAGATCAGTGAACAAAATTATAAACAGCATTGTGATAGTATTCACACTATCTATAGCAAAATGTTATCAATACAAACGTGAATATACATAAGTTAATGAATCTTTTTCTTTTAAGGTTAATAGTGAGTTGTTTAAAAAATCGCCAAACTCTTTATTCACTTATTTTTCAGATGAAAAAATGAAAAAGGTTCCAAGCTTAAAGTCGTTTTTACCCAATCTTCGAAAACCAGATTCAGAAACATCAAAGTAATTTTTTGACGTGTGTATAAAGCATTAATAAAGCATTAATAAAAAGGCTTTGCTGAGATGTCGTTAATCCCCCCCAAAAAAATTTAAATTTGAAAAAGTCTCAGTTAAATGCATATTTTACTCGATCGTGTTTTATATAATGTTTTTTCCAGAATAAAATACTCCTTAAACTTAAATTTAAAATAAAGCTTTAGATTCTCCGTTTGAATCTATTATTGGTTTAAAGTTTGGTCATGAACAGCTGTTTTTGTAGTTTATATCTAAAATGATTTCATTTTTAAATATCAGCATATGCTTTATGATTTTTAAAAAGAAATATCTTTTATCTCTGTTATCTCGAGACTGAGACAGTCGATGTAAGTTACCCTCAATTAAAAAAGGGCATGTCAGATTCGCAACGGTACCCTCGAAACCTTTATCAGATTGATAATGATGAAGATATTGTAATTTTTCTAGCGTTAACGTGTTTAATTCTGATAATTTTTGGAGCAAGTTACTTTTTTTACAGTGGAAGGTGATTATATCAATACAATAAAGACGACTTTCGAGTTCAGTTAGGATAAGATAAGATAAGATAAAGTTTATTGCTTATT